TTTAAAAAAAAAGAAAGAAGAAGGAAGGAAGGAAGGAAGGAAGGAAGGAAGGAAGGAAGGAAGGAAAGGAAGGAAAGGAGGGAGGAAGGGAAGGAAGGAAGGGAGGGAGGAAGGAAGGAAGAGAAGGAAGAAAAGGAAGAAAAGAAAGAAAAACACTCCCAAATATCCAGGCAATTGAAGGCAGTAGTTTTTTGGCTTATCTAATTAATTAACTCTATTCTCAACTTTACTTTGAGTAGATACTAAATATTACACATTGTTTAACCTTATGCTAAGTTGCATGAATTACATTGCATAGTCTGTGAAAATACACTGGGGAGTCTTGATCAAGTTGCTAAATCTTTTTAGGCTACAGTTTTCTCTTCTGTAAAATGAGGGCGTGGACTACTTAGCCTTAAATGTCTATTTATAAAGCCCCAAATAATGTAATTAAGCAATAGATCATCAAGAATTATTTTCATTGTTGGCTTTTCAATCCTTAAAATTATATTTATTTTTCATGAGAGAAAACTTGTCACCATAACTTCCCTTCTTCCAGACTTAATTTCAGCAGATGGTTAATTAAACCGTACTCATCACATTAGAAAAATGTTTCAGGCAGTCTTAGAATCAGGACAGGACCTGGCATGTTTTATCCATCTGTTAGCTCATAGCTCAAGTGCGTTATGTTTGGAATGGGGCCACAAATCTTGAATGTTTAACTCCCTTAGGTGGGACATCGGGAAGGAGAGGAAAGGGCATAGGCCAGTACACATAATCATTTCTTGTTAGTGTTATAATGTGTTTTGGGTTATAACATCTTTTGGAACCATCGATATGAAATGACAAAGCTTTATAGGAAAGGAGAAATGATTTGAGTAGAAAAATCAATATGTTCTTTTCATTATAAATATTACATTAGGGAAATTAAAAATGAGACTATCTCTAGAGCTCTTTCCAGCTCTAAGAGCCTTTGCTTATGGGTTTATAACACAAAGTAGTCAATGTAATGTTTAAACAGAGCACCTAACTTTTTATTTCTTTTAATTATTGTCAAATTTTTACACACAATCTTAAAAGTCAAATAGTAGTACAAGATTTATCAAGAAAAACAGCAGTCCCCTGAGGCCCATCCCCAGAAGCTACTTTTCAGCTCATTTAGCTATTCTGATATTTGCCTCCAGATTTATAAATACAATGTTTAGGTAGCTATTTCTTAATCTTGCAATGTGTGGGATATTATCTTTGACTTCTTATATGGATGAAAAAGACTTAGGACTCAGGGGACTGCTGTCTTGTCTCACTCAACTCCTCATACATACTTCCCATCCTCATTCTTCCAATATAAGCATATCAGTTTTTATTACATCAAATTATTATGACTATATATCTATTGTTCATCATCATTATGGGGACCCCTTTCCCTCTTCTGGGTTGCTACTTTCTTTCCTGGATTCCATATTTCCCACTTTTATTTTTTCTTTCTGGTAGAGCATATCATCCAATAGCTTCCTGAGAAAGAGTACATGAAAGGTAAACAGTTTGCAGCCATAAATGTCTGAAAATCATTTTCTGAAGATCATTATTTCTGAAAATCATTATTATAATTTTAGCCTCACCATTGGTTGAAAAATGTTTAACCTCAGAAATTTGAACGCATTGCTCCATTATCTTCTGGCTTCTATCGTTTCTGTTGACATATCCAGAGTCATTCCAGTTTCTGATCCTTTTGTATATGACCTGTTTTGTTTGGCTTTGCTTTCTGGAAACTGGGATCTTCTGTCAGTCCTGAGAGTTATGGAATTTTATCTAAAGAGAGATTTTAGGAAGCATGCAGAATCAATAAGATTTGGGAAATGAGGAAAAGTAGAAGTTTAAGATGGCTCCAGATTTCTAATTTGGTTGACCAGGTAGGTGTTTTTTTTTCAATTTTTTTTTAATTTTTAAATTACAGGTGACCTACAATAATATATTAATTTCAGGTGTACATTATAGTGATTACACATTTATGTAATTTATAAAGCGATCACCCCAATATGTCTAGGACCCATCCGACACCATACATAGTTATGATAATATTGACTATATTCCCTATGCTGTACTTTATATCCCGGTAACTTTTTATAACTGGCAATTTGCCCATCTTAATCATGTCCCCTTTTTTACCCATCCCCCCAACCTCCTTCCATCTTGCAACCATCAAAATGTTCTCTCTCTCTATGAGTTTGTTACTATTTTGTTTGTTTGTTTATTTTGTTTTTCAGATTATACATATAAGTGAAATAATGTGATATTTGTCTTTGACTTATTTCACTTAGCATAATACCCTCTAGGTCCATCCATGTTGCTTCAAATGGCAAGATTTCATTTGTTTTTATGGCTGAGTT